GCTGGCTGAGGAATTCTGGGAGTTGAAGTCCACAAGTCTTAAAGTTGCCAAGGTTGGACACCCCTGACCTAGACTGTCAACTCATTAAAAATTCCTATGCCTGTTTTAATAGTTGCCATAAAAAAAGGCGGGGAAGAGGAAGAAAATCTGGAAGAGGAGTGCAGCAGTTTGGAAGCAAAAGTACATTCCAACTCTTCTCTTTAAAAGATTGTAACTAAACTCCCAGGGCTTTTGCCCTTGAATATATTGAACTGGAGAACATGAATGATGACACCCAGCCCGTGAACATGCTCAATTGGAGAATCTGATTTATGACACACCCAGGGAGGAGGGGAGGAAACAGGGTCACAGGGGACTGTAAATTACGTATGCCAGAGTTGGCTTCATACAGGCCAGTGCCAGTATGTCGCCTCTAATGAATCCTTTGAAGTTTTTTGAAGTTTGGCTCCAGAATCATGATTTAATTAGAGCGATTGCTGGAACACTGACATAGACAATGGTTGAGTTTTGCCCCAATTTATGACCTTTCTTGCCACAGTTGTTAAGTGAGTCACTGCAGGTGTTAAGTAAGTAACACGATTGTTAAGTGAATCTGGCTTTTCCATTAACTTCGCTTATCAGAAAGTCACAAAAGGTGATAGCATGATCCTGGCCTGGGAGACTCCAACCATCGTAAGTACATGTCAGTTTTTCCAAGCATCCAAATTTTGACGAGATGGATGCTGCGAAGGGTTGTAAGTGTGAAAAACGATAATGGGTTCCTTTTTTCATTGTCATTGTAACTTCAAATAGTCACTAAAGAAATGGTTGTAATTCAAGAACGACCTGTAGTTTCATGGTGGAACAGCTAAATAGGTCTAGAGTTGGTTGGCAGGGCATACACACGTGTGTGCATTCTAGTATTCTACTTAAAGCAATATTTTTATTTGTTCATTTTTCAGCTCAACCCTCCTGCATTGTCATATGTCCACTGTGACAAAGCCTTATTCTATGTACTGTTCCATGAAGTACTGTACATTTATAGTTGCACAATTTGTCACTTAACGCGTGTAGGAATTTCACTATCATTTGGTGCTAGCCTTTTCTCCCTTGGTGATTTAAAGAAATCGTTTGCAGCTGAATATTGATATTTTATTCTAATACAAAGCAATAATGTAATGTTACGTTGTTCAGTACAGAGCAAAAATGTATATATATTTTCAAAAATGGTTAGATATGAACTATAGTCAAGATAATATTTCTAATCCTTTTTTCTGGTGCTGGTTAAAATTGGTCACGGAAATACAATCAAGCTGAATAAAACCAATTGTGATTTTTTTTTTAAAAAAAATGTAATTCCACTCTGGAAATTAAAGCTTCATTGTGTTTAAAATAAATATTAATATTAAAAAAAATAATAAATGTATTTTTTCCAAAATTTCAACAAGCCGTGCCTTTATTTGCAATATGTGGAGTTTATTCAAAGTAAATTATGGATTCTGCCCTACTCAGGAAGAGTCACAGTTTTATCTTTCATTGTCCTTAAGCCTTTTTTCACAGAGGCTGATAAGAAACACCACCAGAAGACAAAAAGCCAATCTTCAACATTAATTTACTTTAATCAATCAATCAATTAGTATAGAGCTGGAAGGGACCTTGTAGGGCATCTAGTCCAACCCTCCACCCAAGCAGGAAACCATCCACTGTTTCTGACAGATGGCAGTCCAGTCTCTTGAAAGGTTCCAGGAATGAAGCTCCCACAACTTCCGAAAGCAACTTCTGTTCCATGGGTTAATTGTTCTCACTGTCAGAAAATTAACAGATTAACAGAGTGGGAGGGGACCTTATAGGTCATCTAGTCCAACCTCCTGCTCAAGCAGGAGACCCTATACCACTCCGGGTAGGTGGCTGTCTAGTCTTGGACCAATTTCCCCTGGTTGGATCTACAGTCATGTGAAAAAGATTATGGAGATGTTTGTTGCCCAGACTGGCAGCTTTACAAACATGACTGTATGACTAAGTAACAGGCCAACGTGCTCGGAGGGTGGATGCCAAAATAATAAGGAAAGTGGTTATTTTAGCAGACTAGGTGATTTATTTCTCCTCAGTTCCAATTGCCCCCTCCATACCATTAGTCAATAAGCAAATATCTGTGTGTAATTAAACTGCTTTTAAAATGTATGGTAAGAACACCATCTGCTGGCAAATCATTAACATTGCTGTATTGTATTCCTCCTTCTCCGAATCTGGAAAAGCCTAGTAGCACCTTTTCTGGCCAACAAATTTTATTCAAAGGCGTATGTTGCCACACGTGGTTTGTGGTGGCGTCTGTGCTGCCCAGCCTGCAACCTCTGTCCAGCACAGTGGCAGGTAGGCTTGTTAAAAAAATAATAATCGTATTTTTCTCCAAGCATTATTTAGACACATGTAGATCTAAGGCTGGTGGGAATTCAAGAAAAAATTCTTGACCTGACAGTGACTCTAGCATAGTGCTTTTCTAACAAGGTTTAATGACTTTGCCTCCATCCATCCGTCATCCTTATACAATTCTTGGATTGGAAGCATCAGTCAAGCAGAATAGAGCTGGAAGGGACCTTCGAGGCCATCTAGTCCAGCGGTCACCCACCAGTGGGCCGTGAGAAAATTTTGGTGGTCCTCAGAGAAATGTCACCCCCAGAGCACCCCCCACAAAGCAATTAATCCAGGCTGCATGGGAACACAAGGCTGTGCCACCCACATGGCCTGTGGGAACCCTCCCCGCCTACTCACTCCTTACCTGGCAAACTTGCCTGCTAAGTTGCTATTTTTTCTTTTTCCGACCATCATCTGTTCTGCTGTGCTGGGAGATTTAGATTAGCTAGGAAGCAGGAAATGGTTGGATTTCTTACTTTCTAGCTAGTCTTTAGATCTTCGGCTCTGCTTTTAAGTACAGCCGAACCTCCCTTAGGACTGAAGGTTTGCTTGCAAGCAAATTCAGTGCAGACTCCCAGCAAGCAAATTTGAGAGATTGAGCTAGCCGATGGCAGATAGATAGATCACTGAATGATTCTGTGAGCAACTTAATCTGCCTGCCCGTTTTGCCTGATTTTGAGTAAAAGTTGTTCCTTTTTTAATAAATTCAATATTTATATAAATATTTATAATATTTCCATACAAGCCATGCCCAGCCAGTCATATGACCACCAAGCTACACCCACAAATTTGGCCACGCCCACAGAACCGGTTAGTGGTCCCTGGGATTTAAAATTATGAGTTTGGTGGTCCCGGAAGTCCAAAAGGTTGGCAACCCCTGGACTAGTCCAACCCCTGTTCAAGAAGGAGATCTTAGACCATATTTCAGACAAGTGACTGTCCAGTCTATTCTTTAAAAACCCCAGTGATGAAGCATCCACAATTTCTAAAGGCTTTTCCACTAGTTAATTTTCCTCACTGTTGGGATGTTTCTCCTTAATTCCAAATCTCCTTGATTAATTTCCATCGTTTCTCTGGTGCTTTGAAAAATAAGTTGACCTCCTCTTCTCTGGGGGACTCTCTCAAATACTCGGATGCTGCTATCCTGTCCCCCCTGGTTTTCCCTAGACTGGCCAAACCCAAATCCTGCAACTGTGCTTCATATGTTTTTGTCTCCAGGCCTTTAATCATCTTAGTTGCTCTTTGCACTTTTTCCAAAGTCTCAATTTCTTTCTTTCTTTCTTTCTTTCTTTCTTTCTTTCTTTCTTTCTTT